CCTGGAGCTTTGCCCAGTCTGTGCTGTGCCGGCAGAGCCACTGCTGCGCTCACCGCTGCCTGTCCCTCGGAGGTCCCGAAGCCCGTGCCGGGGAAGAGCAGCTGCCCGGAGCCACCTGGAACACACACCTCCTCAGGGGGCTCAGTGTGGGGGCACCGCTCCTCTGTCTTCACCAGCAGCCCCTCGCCAGCTGCAGGGCCCAGAAAGTCTGGTCAGTGCCTACCAGGGACATCCCCAAGTCACAGCCCAGTCTAGGTGGGTGCTCGCCCACCCCAGCTCCGTCACAGCCCCACGGAGGGGATCACTCACCAGGACCAGGACCCGGCAGCATCTCCCTCTCTGGCAGTTCCCATGGCTCACGGACGCAGGGCTCTTCCTCCTGCTTGATCCATGACAAGAAGTCGTGTGCCGTGATCAGGGCATCTGCGCCTGCAGGGAGGGACAGGGATGGGGACAGGGCTCAGCTGCATCGGGCCACATCCTGCTCCAGGAGGCTGGGGAGGGAATGACTCCGACAGGCAGTTGCTGGGCAGTGGTGGGTGCATGGCTCAGCCCCAGGCTCACCTGCACAGGGGTCCGCTGGCATCCCCCGCTCCTCCGTGAACTGCTGCTCCCCAACAAAAGCCACCTCCTGCTTGATCCGGGACAGGATGTCAGAGGTGGAGATCAGTGACTCTGCTCACAAGGAGAGATTTGGTCAGGACCAGGATGTGGCCACCTGATGTGACTCATGGCCACTAGGCCTTGTGATGTGGGACCCCTGGACCCCTGGACATTCCTGTCCCACAGCAGTTATGGGGCATCAAAGACCCCCAGGGGAACTGTGGGGACAGGTGACTGTGGGACAGCCCATGGGCATGGGTGACTTTTGGATGGTCCTTGGGGATGGGTGACTGTGGGACAGCCACTGGGGACAGGTGCCTTTGGAACAGCCCATAGGGATAGGTGACTGTGGGACAGTCCTTGGGGACAGGTGACTTCAGGAAAGCCTCTGGGGACCATTGACCCTGAGATGGCTCATGGGGTGGATGACCCTGAGACAGTCTTCAGGGTCAGGTGACCATGGCACAGCTCCTGAGAACAGATGACTCTGGTACAGCCCATTGGGGATGGGTGACAACAGCACAGCCGATGGGGCTGGGTGACAGTGACACAGCTTATGAGCTCTGACACAATGTGGTGGCCAGGGGAGACACATGGCTCTCCCAGCAATGGATGCCCAAGACCCCCAGTACATCAGTCATGGGGGATATTCCAGGGTCACTTGTGGTGGTCCCTGATCACAGCTTGAAAACTGGGCCCAGGGGGGATGGGACCACCAGGGAAGGAGGAGGGACATCCCTGGGGTGAACAGGGTGGGAGATCATGAGGTGGAGGCAGCAGGGATGGGATCCTCGTGTGGTGCCTCACCTGCGCAGGCATCTGGTGGCAGCTCCCTCTGCTCCAGCTCCCTCTGCTCGGGGACACAGGGTCCCTCCCCACGCTCGCTGCGGGTCTGTGCCTCACTTCTGGAGAGGGCACCATCTGCAGGGGAGACAGGGCAGCTGGCACCAGGGCTGTGCCCCTCACACCGTCCCTGCCACCTGGGCATGGGCAACACACAGGGGACACCCCAGGCTGCCAGGCCCTGGCATCTCATCTGGCAGAGAACCCACCTAAATCCAACAGGCACCTCCATGTTGGAGGTCCATATAGCACAGATGCTCAAGCCCTCAGTCTTGGGTGATAACCCTCTCCACACTCCAGGGCCAGATGGCACGGACTGGCCCATGTGGCAACACAGATGTGGCATGCCACGGACTGGCCCATGTGGCAACACAGGTGTGGCATGGCACAGCATGTCACCCTGTCCCCATGCACACAGCACAAGCCACGGAGTGTTCCTTCTCTAATGGGTGGCTCCAGGGACATAGCAAGTGCCACCACCAACCGCTGGCAGGAACCAGGGCACCCACATTGGGAACCCTCCAGGGAGACACAGCCATCACCCCAGCCTAGTAGGAAAGGGGGAAATGGGATGTTTACCCAGGGAGAGCAAAGCCTCGTAGTTCTCCTTCACCAGGTTGTTGTACAGCTCCTTCTGCCACTCCTCCAGATTCTTCCACTCCTCCGCTGAGAAGTAGACGGCGATGTCAACAAACGTCACTGGCACCTGCGGGTACAAGCTCCCATGGATCAGCAGTGCCAGCTCCCCAGGGAATCCGAGGGTACCCCCACTGTCCCACAGCCCCCCGGGAGCCATTACCTTGGGAACTTCCCCCCGGGGGCCGGGGGGCAGC